TTGGAACCGGAAAATTTCTAACGATACCCAACCCTAATTATAATGTATATTAATAAATATATTTTATAAGTATATTTATGTTTTTGGCAACACTTTACAATACGATTAGTTAATGTTATTTAATGCATTAACTAACAATGAGCAAAGCTTTTGTTACAGTATTTATCAGTCTTTGTTAACATTAAAAAATACTATTGTTCATTGCTAGCTCAGTCTATTAAATAATAGCCTGAATTAAAAATTAAAATTAAAACCATAGCGCCCTTGAGGAAGACACTTGACTCAATTATTGAACCTACAATTTAAAACGAAATGTCACTTTGAATTAGAGCGTATTTGCTAAATGCAGATGAATGTGTGATTTCAGAGGCGTGTTTTGAGAGCGTGGCTACAGGCCCAGCAGCGCTGCGGCTCCTCACAGTGTGACGACACTGAGGCCCTGCTGATGGAACTGTGTGAGCGGGATGGACTGACACTGGAGGACAGTGAAGAGGAGGATGAGGAAGAGGAGGTGGAGAACAGTGAACCACTGGAAGACAGTGACATACAGTACTCTGACTCTGGTAATACAAACACACATGACGTACAGAGTTTAGTTTTAATGCATTTTATGAGGATTATTGGAATGCAGATAATCTACTGTAGTGGTATTAGTGTTATTTTAGTATTAGTTATTTACTTTGTCATATTTATTAATATTTTGAATTAGCTTTTACATGTATTTTCAGTGTTCATTTTATTTTAAGTTTTAGTAATTTTGTTAGGTGCTTTTGGTGCCATTTCTATTTAGCTTTAATTTATTTTATTTCAGTTTTAGTCGTTTTAGTATTTTAACAATCTTTGAAAATTTTACTTCAGTTAGTTGCTAAGGCAATCTAATTTTTAAAGTTTTTTTTTAGGTTTAAAGGCTTGTTCACACCGGGACGAATATCGAGCGCGATTATCGCCGACGTTTAACGCCTCGTGACTAAACAAAGGGCACCAATGTGAGTGTACACACCGACGCGCAAAACGCAAGGCGTAAAAGTGTCATTTTTAAAAAAACGCCTCGGGCTCGTTTTTTTGGTTTGACGCGCCACGTTAAAAACTGGCCGACCAATGAGGTTGGCGCTTTTGTTCACGTGCCTGGAGCTGCTGAAGTTACAGTAAAACACGACTTGGTGGGAGTGAATTTGCACGTTCACTCGGCTCATCGCCAGTGAAAATCACTTGGGTATGAACACAAAAGACGCGTCGAAAAACGTCGGCGATAAGCGCGCGCGATAATCGTCCCGGTGTGTACGAGGCTTAAGTGTTTCATCTAATTTTTTATTTTACTTTATTAGCGCTATTTCTATTAATAAACATTATTTTATATGTTCAGTTAAGAAGTTATGCAGTGTGCAATGCAGTGTTTTTTATAATGAAAAATAATGGCTTGGTCCAGTTTGTTTTGATGTAATAAAGATGTTTATTCATGCATGTTATCAGGATGTCTGTTTATGTCTGAGTGAGTGAATGATCTGTTTGTGCAGATGAGGATCTGGAGGGTTATGATAAGATCGTGACGGGCAGGAGGAAGACACAGAGGGTGAGATCTCAGAGACTGTGGTTTATGTTGCGCTTCATCATCTTCTGATGTATTATTTGTTCATCTTGTTCGGTGGTGTTTGTGCAGTGGAACCGACGGAATGAGAAGGGCGAGACGGTTCTGCACAGGGCCTGTATAGAGGGAAACCTAAAGCAGGTTCAGTACTTGCTTGACCAGGTGTGTTTGGCTTTTGGTACTTCACTTTTTAAGAGTGAAATGGCTTTAAAAGATTTGTGCTTTTGCCCTTCTTGAGAATGTATTTGATGCATGTGTTTGTTAATCTCCGACAGGGTCACCCGGTTAACCTGAGAGATTACTGCGGGTGGACTGCTCTGCATGAAGCCTGTAACTACGGTCATGAAGGTACTGCAGCCTGCCATTTTAAAAACGACCCTGGAGGTCGAGACTGTGAGGGCGTCACACCCCTGCATGACACCCTAAACTGCGGCCACTTCCCTGTTGCACGACTGCTGGTAGAGAGAGGAGCGTCGGTCACTGTTCGCAATAGCAAGGTCAGGCAAACACGTGCTACACATACCTATTAACAAATAAACATAAATGTGAATTGGCATAATGATGCTGAAAATTCAGCTTTGCCATCACAGGAATAAAACATGTTTTAAAACATAATAGAATATTGTAAATTGTAATAATATTTCACAATATTACTGTATTTTTGATTAAATAAATGGTTTTTGAGCATTTGAGCAGCCTTGGCAAGCATATACAAGACTAATTACACTAGCATTATCATAAACACAATGAACAAACAGTTTTGATTCTTTTTGGTTTTGCTAATTCTATGCACTATTTTCTTATATGTACTTATTTGCAGGGACACACTGCTCTGGACACCCTGCGTCAGTGGTTTAAGACTTACAGCCGACAGCTGGACCAAGAGACAAAGCAGGAGTGTTTGGAGACTGAAAAACTCATCAAGAGAGCTGTGTCAGGAGACAGTGAGGAGATAAACATTACTGATTTATTTTGCAATGTTTCTTAAATGGCTGACAGACAATGTATTGCTTATTATATACATTTTTGCATGTTAATGATGACACATGAGACATTCACAAAATTACTAATGAATTAAACTCATATTCTGAACAAGGATTACTCAAAAAAAAGAAAGAAAATGTGCATTATTTGTCACAAGTTGATGCCGATAATCTCCATTTTGGCTTATTTATTAACCCAAAATAGATTTAAAATTTTCAAGAACATTTGATTTACTTTCAAAAAATAAAATAAAATCTCAAAAATAAATAAATAAATCTCAGTACTCCTTGTCTTCTCCTGTAGTCTCCGTTGTGTCGGCACTTCCACGGCAGCAGAAGGAGCTTCAGGACAGTCAGCTGTTTGATGCCGAGTATTCAGAACCGCTGCTGCAGGAGTCACTGCCCTCACGCCAGCAGATCACTCCCTGTCCCGCTCCAACCGTCCCAACTCTGAAAAACTCGGCTCCGGGACACAGGAGCACCTCAGGCCCAGCTCGCCGGCCACGAGGGATGGAAGTAGATGTTTTGTATGGGGTAAAGTTGCTTTTCTGAATCAATCGTTCATTCAATTTTTCTCATTTTTAAGCTAGAATTCATTAAATTAATTGTTTTTGTTGTTTTTGCTTCAGAGCGAGAGCAGTTCTTCGGATCATTTCGACTTGGATTGCTCACTCAGTCCTCTTCGTCCCGTTCGGTCAAGACCGCGTTCCCCAGCTGTCCAGTCCTCGCAGGAATTCCCACCCAGTCAGGATGTGCCCTCTGTATATGAGCTCAGAGAGGCTGTGTTGCCCCCGCAGTCAGAATCGGGCAGACTGGAGTATCAGAAGGCCATGCAGAATCTAGGCAGTGCCAAATCCCGCCTCCTCTCTCAGAGCCTATCAGAGCCGGCCTTTACCAGCACGCCAGCAGTGTCAGCCAATAGCAGAACAGCGCTGGTACCAGAGGACCAGTATCTGGCAGATGATTGGCTGGAGGATGACCTGAGGGATGTGCAACCTAAGAAGAAACGGAGAGTTTCTGAGCACAACGTCCCACGGGAAATAACTTCCAGAAATCAGAATCATTTCTCAGTTTCTGCTGAAGCTCATCCTAGAGGTGTTGACATATATAGCATTAGATTCAAGATGATTATGAAGAACACACAATAATGCAATCACAATATTTAATTTTTATTAATTAGGTAGACAGCTACACTTTTTGTAATTTTCCTATTCTTTTATGTGTTTTATATATATATATATATATATATTAGTTAAATCCTAAATTTAATGTCTAAACAATTTTTTTTTCTTTTAATTTTTAAGCTCCTTTTAAATTTTTTATGTTAAAGTAATGCAACACATAAGTTCCTACCACATTAGTTTCCTTAAATATTGCTAGTTTCTTATAACATGCTTAATAATACAATTTTAATTAATAATGGTAAGTTAAATCCTACATTTAATGTTTAACAATTAATATTTGTAAAATTGTTGAGCTCCTTTACATTTTTTAATGCAACACTTAAGTAGCACATTACCACATTAGTTTCCATTAACTTTAATAATAATTAATAGTTTCTTATATTATAATTTATATGGTAATGTAACACATTTCATGAAACACTTTCAGAAATAACATTTCCCAACACTGAAATTACCATTCATGAAATGGCTTCTGAAATACTTGATTCAGTCAGATATTTTTGTATAATATAATATAATGTTATAATTAATATAGAATACATTTGTATGGCATAAAATATTGTATTTTTGTATGATATTAATATAATATAATTAATATACACATATTAATGATGCTAAACAATTTAATTGCCTGTTGTTGAATCGTTTCATGTCTCTCACTATTTCTCATAGCAGTTCAGAGTTCCTCCAGTAGGGGTCTGTCTCTGAAAAAGGGCACTAATAATAAGCCGCGGCAGGTGAAGATGAATCAAATGCCCGGGATGGTGAATCTAGGTAGGAGAGAGGTCAGCAGGTCACAGAGTCCCATCATGACCCAAGAATCTGAGCCCATCCATGACCCTGCACCTCCTACCCATCAGTCAATGGTAATGCAGGCCTCACTATGCCATTGGCTGTGTTTGGAATGGCATGCTAGCGTACTATGACATGCAAAATATGCAGGGCTGGGGGACCTCCCTCCAGGACAGGTTTGAAAACACTGGTATATACTGTATAGTGCTTGCTGTTTTTTTTTAAAGGGGTCATATGATGCTTTTTTAAAGATCATTAGAATTTGTATGCAGTATGAAACGTAGAAAGTAACAAAGTAATGAGATTATGTAATATGTTTAATTTATCAAGTGGCATTCAGTTACCATTTTGGAAATAAATGCAGTTATTCTGCATTTTTAAAACTATTTTATGTAAAAATGTCATAATTCTTGGCAGTTACTAAACAAATTAGTCAAAAAGGAGGTAACAAATCTGATATTTCTATTTATGCATAATACTACTCATTGTGTTTGATACTTACAGACTGCTATGTTTATTGAATGCCTTATTGAACGATTGATTATCGTTTTTTTAAAGCCACCAGCATCATTCCAGAACCGAACAGCTCATGTTCCTGCACCGATCAGGATGAGGGTCAGAGTTCAGGACAATGTCTTCTTGATTCCCGTTCCTCACAGGTCTGATGCTGCTTTTGTGTGTATCAGATAGTGTTCAGTGTTTAGTTATGAGTGTATGTAACAGTAATGTTGTATGTTGTGTTTTGCAGTGAGGCAGACTCCTGCACGGTGGCATGGTTGTGTGATCAGGCCGCTCAGCGTTACTATCAGACGTGTGGATTACTGCCACGTCTGTCCCTGCAGAAAGAGGGCGCCCTGCTCTTACCCACCGATCCACTGCTGGCTGTGCTGCACACCAATGAAGAGGTCAGAGGTCATGCGTATTTTTAGACTTTTTGTAGGTTTTTTACAGAGGGATTGTAGCAAAACAAACATATTGTGGGAGCAAAAGATTTGCCAGGAAAATAAATAATTAAATAATAATAATAAAAAATAAATATTTTTTTCAGTCGGGTGGTAAGACCAAAATCATACAGGTATAGTCTAGTAATTTACATACTTTAAAAAGTGCTTGATTTAATTTTTTTTTAAACCTGATGGACACAACCAATAAGAAAATATTAATAACATATCTTTAATATGTAATAGATACATAATATAATTAATAGACATATATTAATGATACAAAAGCGTTTTATTTCCTGTTGCTAATTAGTTTATATCTCCCACTATTCTACAGTTTCTTACAATGTCATAATAAACCAAAATAAATATTTTTTCAGTCTAGTGAAATTGCCAAAATCATAATTGTAGTCATTCAAATACTTTACTTTAAAAAATGTACTATGTCTCATTTGTTTTTTTCTATCACTTTAATAATTAGAAACTTGATGGACACAAACCGAAAGGTTTAGTATTAGTCATAATAACATATGATTTAGTAAGGCATCAGTGCAATTGCATGATCATATTAAGGCAAGACACTGCAGGTGAATAGGATAAAAATATTAACTAATAGTTATCACCTTACTTACCCAGTTGATTGATTACATTGATAATTGCAAACATTTTTTGTATTACAAGTTTTCTAAAATGTTATGTTTAAATATGCAAATGAGGCATTATTTAATGAAATATGCGCTAATTTGCATACATTTCTAGTACAAAAATCTGAACACTGGATGAAGTCAGTTTCAAAATTCTTGTTTAATTTTTTTGACACATTAGAGTCAAATGTTTTTACAGAGGGAATTTAGGGTATCTCCTTTTGTCACTCCATAATTCAGAAAAATCTTTGAACAGCCAGAAAACAATATATTTTCACAATTTTGGGGGGAATAAAAATGTTGTAAACAATCAAGCAAATTATATATGAACAAATCCCTCTGTAAAAACCTTCAGAATATAGACAGGAATAAAAATGTAAAGTTTGGTGTGTGTAAGTGCTACTGAAGTGGAGATTTATGGCTCAGTGTAGGAGAAAAAACTCATTTTGCCACTAGTCTCTTTTATGAAAAGCCAAAAAGCCCAAAATCTCAAAATTGACAGGTGCATGAAAAAATAGTAAAAATAGTGT